ATCCGGGAGGGGCTCACAGTAGTGCTGCTGCTCCTCCGCATTCAAGAGATAGTTGAGATGGTTCAGGCATCTGACAAGGATGCCTCCTGGGCACCTCCTGGGTGAGGTGTTCCGGGGATGTCCCACCAGGAGGAGGCCCGGGGGCAGACACACTGGAGAGATTATATCTTTCGGAGGAATGCCTTGGTGTTCCCCCCGGAGAAGTTGGAGGAGGTGGCTGAGGAGAGGGAGGTCTGGGCTTCTCTGCTTGCACTGCTGCCCCTGTGACCTTGCCCCGGATAAGCGGAAGAAGATAGATGGATGGATGGATGGATAACCGTTCAACTTGCGGTTCTTGATGGAGAACTCTGCACATGCTTAGTGCGACTCTCTCTGCCTGGGGGAAAGGATGCCGGCCTGAGGAGGCATGGAGATGGTCTTGCTGGCTGCAGATTTAATGTTTAGGTTAAAAATGAAATCCTTCTCCTCTTCAGCTTTAGGCTGGTCCCCCTGGGGGTTCCCAAGGAAGGAGGAAAACATCGGCACATTCTCATCCAACCAGAGGATGGGATTACTCGAACTAATGGCACCTGTATGTATAACAGCAGGACTGTCAGTGTTCAACTTAAATAACCTGCATGACTCAGGTGCCTGTATTTTAAACTATATGGTAATCATTAACAGGAATCAATTTTTCAGTTCGATCATCTGGCGTCACTAGTTATCGATTGATTATAGATCAGCTTTTTGTGTAAAGCTGTACAAACTCATAATAATTTATACCTGTGACACATGCCTGTTATAAACTTTGAAGGTAAAAAAAAAAAAAAGGGAACAAACTGAGGCTTTTGTTTTGAAAACCCGGAAGCGGAAGTTGTTGGCCGGATCCGCTCCCGGTGAAGTCCACGTCAGTCCTCAGAGCACACCTGAGGGGTCCGGACCGAACCGTACTAAAGTCATACCCGTTAACTCTCCTGCGCATCATGGCGGACGAGGCCACGCGCAAGGCCGTTTCGCAGATCCCGCTGCTGAAGACGCACGCGGGGCCGCGAGACCGTGCGCTGTGGCCGCAGCGGCTGAAGGAGGAGTACCAGGCGCTGATCCGCTTCGTGGAGCAGAACAAGGCGGCCGACAACGACTGGTTCCGCCTCGAATCCAACGCTGACGGCACGCGCTGGACTGGCACGTGCTGGTACATCCACGAGCTGCTGCGCTACGAGTTCCGGCTAGAGTTCGATATCCCTGTGACGTACCCGGACACCGCGCCGGAGGTGGCGGTTCCGGAGCTGGACGGGAAGACCGCCAAAATGTACCGCGGCGGGAAAATCTGCCTCACCGAACACTTTGCGCCGCTCTGGGCCCGGAACGCGCCGCGGTTCGGGCTCGCGCACCTCATGGCGCTCGGACTCGGACCGTGGCTCGCCGTGGAGATTCCGGATCTTATCAGCAAGGGCATCGTAGTCCACAAGGAGGGACAGGCCGAACCGGCGGCGGAGTGACATCGGACGGAGAGCCGAACCGGACCGGAAGCAGCGCTGAAAGACTGAAACTTAGGAGAGTAAAAATTGTGTTAAAATGAATGGAGTCTGGTTTGGAAATGACGTTGACTCTGTTAGTCATCACTAAACTGTAACTGACGCAGTTCAAGTAAAGATGGGCACAGAGAGAATTGAGTCTGATTGGGAGATCGCACTGGCATCTGGCTATTATTTTTCAGTAGTAAGACTAAATGAGTAAAGCTCATGAGAATATG